TTTCATGACAATAAGCTTCACTGACAAATATAAATTTTTTCTTGATTTTGAGGTCAATTTCTTGACATTTTTATGAGATTCCCCCTTATTTATACTGGATAATTTTACAAGTTTACATCGTTTTGCTATTTTCCAAACAGTAATTACATTGGATGAAGAAAAAAATAATATAATAATATTCAGCATAAAGAACATGAGGCCTGTTTGTTTTTCATGACAATTAGTTTATGTCTTGGTGCTATTTTCCAAACAGTAATTGTATCAGATTGCCAAATAAGAAGCAAATAAATTATATCCAGCATTAAAAAAAATGAAACTTGTTTGTATGAACATTAATATTTTTTGCATCATTTTCATGACAATTAAGCTTCAATGTCTTTATGAGAAATATATAATTTTCTGTTGATTTTGGGGTCAGTTTCTTGATTTTATTTTTTTTAAAGATTCACCCTTATGCATGATAACTTTATAAGTTCATATCTTAGTGCAATTTCCTAAACAGTATTTATATATATATATATATATATATATATATATTAAAAAAGAGAAGAACATTTTTTGATTTTGGGGTCAATTTCTTAATTTCTTGACATTTTTAATTTTTCGCCCTTATGCATGAAAACTTAGTGCTACTTACGAAACAGTAATTGTATCAAATGCAAGTTTCATTGATCTAAAATGTGGATTTAAAGGGAAACACAAAATGCAACAGAAGCATGTGACTCGAGGCTAAAGTGGTGAAGAATCCAGTAATATTCCAGTTTGTCCAGTAATTAGACTGTGCAACAAAGACCGTCTCTCACACAGAAAAGCATTGATTGTGCTATTCATTTAGAACCGTTTAATTGAAAATAATCATCAGAAGAAGAATTATAATACCAGTGTGTGTGTGTTTGTGAAGCCCACAGTCAAACCATGAAAGCCAGAACCCATAGAAACAGCCAAGGTATAAAGTAAAGGCCCGAGCCGAGCGACTACACACCTCTGACACGTTTAAAGAAGGAGCTAAACTCAAGGAATACTGGGAAAGCATAAATATTTTACATTGTGAGCACACAAAAGCACCTCCGCTGGGGCTCTGGATGCGAGCAACAATGACCACAAGTACAATTAAGGTTTCAAGTCATGCGAGAGCCACAGGTTTCAACGTCATCGAAAAATGAAGGTACTTTAAAGCCGTGTGTGTGTGTGTGTGTGTGTGTGTGTGGACATGCGTGTTGTTTACAGGAACGT